GTGCGGCATATCCACCAATTGCATAACTGTTCCTTTCAATAAATGAAAACTAAATTGTGAAAATAGGACAGTTATGTGATAGGAGCCTGGTAACTGCTTGCTAATAGGATTTTTTTTTTTTTACAGAGCAGTTTAAAGGCAACTGTAAACACATCTGTTTGCATATTTAGAGTAATATTTATTAGGAACAGGCAGCACTGTCAACTTTGTTATGCAAAACAGTCAAAACAATAAGCCACATTTTCCATGTGTCTGTTTTCTGCCAACGTAACAGTCTATTTGATTTCATTAGCATTTGTTTCATAGCAATAAGTTTGTCCCCTGGGGATGAACCTGAGGTTCCCAAACTCACTGTAATGCAGTATTTCATGTCTTGACAAATATATTTTTTTTTTCTAAGTGCTGTGTGTTTTAAATTACAGCCTAGTAAAACTGACTGAGAAAGAGTAGGTTCTAGTGATGGGGTGGAGAGAGAGAAGAAGATCTTTAGTTGCTTAAATGAGCTATACTTCGTTCCCAGTTTAAACAGCACAATAAAATGGCATACAATCTTTTATTGTATTGGATATTCTTGGTTTTCTTTCTAAATTTTTGGCTAGGGGATTTAATAATGTTAACAATGCACCCTGAAATTCCCCTGCTTTGCGCTGCATAAGCATTTGAACTGATGCTTGCAGTATTGTCAGCACACTTTGTAATGTGACTTCAGGGCCTTGTTCTGCAGACTTTCATGCTCAGGAGCAACTTTACATAATTATGTATTGATATAGATGCTAACAAGGAAAACTGCTTCAATACTTACTCTTAGGATATAGGCCTAAATGCATTTCAACATACTGTACTTTGTGCTACCTGTGTTGTTGTGTGCGAAGGAGAAATTACAAAACAGTTGTTTTCAGGTTTTGTATTAAGGCTGTATAAATCACCTAAATTTCTGAAAAAAAAATATTTTCTTTTACTATTTATTTTATATAAGGAAGCTTATTATTTACAAACTTCCATGGGTCTAAAAACAGTCCCCCCAAAAAATTACGAAACCTGCCTTCAAGTTCTCAAATGATTGAAAAGCAAACTTGTCATTTATTTAGGAGAATTTTCTTAACATGGATGGCACAATCCTGAATTGCCCAGGAAAAGGGCAAAGATACTGTTCTTTGTAATGAAAGCAAAACTGTCCTCTTGCTTTTTCAGGTCAATAACTACTGAAAAACCTTGTCTGGACACTGGCTGGGATTAATTTTTTTAGCAGAAGTTATCTAACAGTTAGGGGCATGGTATAGTGTTTCTCAGCTCCATACTGACTAATGGAAAGATAAAAATAAATAAATAAATAAAAATGGGGGAAAGACAGAGGACAAGGACTGTCTTCCTTTCTACACTGGCATATGGAACCTACCAGGTAGATGACTAAATGGGCAGCTGATGTTAAGTGAGAGTGGTGTACTGAGGTCTTTTTCTAGAATATCATGTCCAGGTACTCTAACAGGAATAGTATATAAAAAAGCTAAGTAAATAAAAACCACAGGCCTGGAATTAGACACAGTCTATATGGTGACTGGGTTCTATTTCTATGAATTTCTACCTGCAGACATCAATAATGCAATCCTGCAGAAACCCGTACGGCTCAGTCTTGAAAGGATGGTTACTTTATAAAACAAAGGCTGCTCTATAAAATATGCTAGTGTTTTAAAATCATAGCTTACATTTGTTACCTACCTAACAGGAAGACAGGTACCTAACTTCCTCAGATGTCCCAAAGACTTCAACATGACTTCACATGGAGTAAAACACTATTTCTGGTGCCTCTTTAAGAGACACAGTTAGTTTCTTAGTTGGACAAGAAAGTATTTTCGACTCCTGGAACAGATATTTTACCTACTATATGCACTTAGGGGTTTAGCAGACCCCAATGTCAACTAGAGGGTCAGAACATTTTAGCATGCCCTCTTACCCTAACTCAGTGTTGTGTGAACTTGTGCCATGGAGCAGGGGCAGGCTGTGTCCCCGTGTGGGCCATCCTCCTGTGCTCCCTCCTGCCCTGGCCCCCACCAACACTGTGGCTGTGTTCCTTCCCCAGCAACAGCCCCACGATCCATGCACAGCACACATAGATGAGTAAGGATGTCACAGCAAAGTGTTGTTAATATATGGTGATGAGTTCTTACCACAGTTTAATCTAAAAGAAGATTTTTAAAATAATCATTATTACGTATGAATTATTATAAAATAACAATGCAATTTATTAATTGGCTGAAATGGAAAGACAAATTTGTGAAATCATTACCATTCACCATAATAAGCTGCCTTGTGAAGATGATCAATAATGTACCCTTGTACAAATTATTTTTCAGAATGTATATTATCAATAAACATTGGGAATGTTGCACACCAACCCTGGCATGGCACTGGCAATCAGTACTTTTTAAAGGAGTTTCCCCAGCTATTTCTTACATATTCATATATTTTAAAAATATTTGTAAATATTAAAAAATGCTTGTATTTGCCCCCAGGGTCACTGCTGAAGCACTGTCCATCACAAGAATGAACAATCAGGAACTTATCCTGGAGTTAAATTACTACTCTTAAAAAAAAAAAAAACAAAAAAAAAAAAAAACAACTTTGGAAGTGCCTTCACACTTTACTTCTTTTTCACATTAATATTGATGACATCATTTATCTCAGTTAAACCCTGCTGTAGGCCTTTTCTTTTGATTCCTGCTTTGTCAAAACTATAATAAAATCAGTAAGAGCTGTGTATAATGGAAAACCATAGGACAACAAAGGATATCAAGGATCCAGTCTGAGGACACAGCAGAGAAAATAGCGAATACAAGGTACGTATTAATCAGGAAATAGGAATAGATATGTGTCTGCATGTCTTTTTTTGTGTACATAGTTTTACTGCAGGCACACGTAGCTGTTCCTATTGTTCACATGTGCATATGAACATAAACAGTTTGAGAAAAAGATATATACAAAACTGTGCTAGTAAGAAATATTTACATTTCACTTACAAAAAAAAAAAAATAAACCAAACCAAAAAAAAAACAATCAAAAACAAGAGGGAAAAAAAATCTGAATTCTTAAAGGTCTGTGACACAATATTTATGTCTGCAGGACATAAATGTTTAAATTTGCTTTAATTATGTGTTTACAATGAGGAAGACTTTTCCACAAACAAAGGAAACTATATCATAGACTTGGCCACATTTCAGTTTAAAATACCACTGGAAATATGCTTCATCAGTTCATGTCACCACTCTATTGGTGGTCTTCTTGTCATATTAACTTAATACTAAGTTTTAAATATTAGTTCACCTACCGTCAGAAATCTCTCAAAATGCCACAAAAGACAAGTTAAACACTATGTGCAGTTTCAAAAAAAATCCCCTACATTAAATGTTTTATCCATTTTGTATAATAAAGTCTGGATATATAAACTGAGAAGCTTGGAGTTTTAAAGATACTAAAATTCTGTTAACAGGAGTTTCAACTCCAGCAATTTTCTTTTCTATTTCATTCATATGAACCTTCTTTAAACATGTTGTCCCTTGTTTGTGCACTTTCCAACATTGCAAATGCATACACTAAGCCTGTTGAATAATACTATGCTTTTTTTTCTCCTAAATTGAAATTATATTAATTAATGTTTGGAATACATATGAAGAAATTCAAATGGAAAGGAATTTACAAAGTGCAGTTTAAAACGGAAATGTAACAACTCACACATTTTTTACACTCACTACATTGCCGATTCTAAACACTGGATTGCAAACAGAATATACTGCTGCAAAAGTTTACAGTAAGGAAGAAGAAAGGACTATAGCAATGCTTATACAAATCAAAACAAGAGACAGAACAGCCAAATAAACAGTAGGAAATCTGCACAATCCTTGAAAATGCATTCCCGTGTTCACAAGAAACAAAAGTGCTGCACACAAAACTTAACATTCCTAAACATTTAGTAGGATTTCTTTCCTTGCTTCTCTTAAAATTCAGCTAGTTCTTGCCGTAGACTTGCCTGACGATTTATTAGTGCAGCATAGTTCAGGAGAATTTCTGAAAACCGTACCTTTTAATCCAGGGATTTGCAACAGGAGCTCTCAAAGCTGAGATGTAATTAAACTAAATATTCAACCCAGGCAAAAGACTTTGCAGGTGTGGAAAGGAGGAGGGGGTAAGTTCAGCTCAGTGACTGTCACTTGGTGGAAAACCCTCCTGCTTCTATTCCATAGCACAGTTAAAAAATAAGGTTTCTCTCAATGAACACAATCCAGGCTGACACCCACATTAGATCATATGGTAATGATATGTCTGCTGTATTGTAGCCAGAAACTTTATCAGCTCTTTTGCTTTCTTTTGCTCCTTTTTCTTTTTCTTTTGCTTTATTTCTTTTTCATCTGTTTAGAATCCCAGACTACTTATACACTCTAAGACAGATGCTTAGCTATAATTTTTACTTATTTTATGTCCCTACAGCATATATTTAGGAAAGTTTTCTTGGTTTTAACTATGGTGTGTTGTTTTTTATTTTTTTTCTTGTGACTCATTACTGAGAAAAATATTTGGCTGTTCCTCTTGTTTATAGTATTTGTAATTCAAGGAAATTATATAAAATTAATCTTTGAGTTAGTCAAAGTGGAGATTAATATCAGAAAAAAAAAAAAAGGTACGTTTAGGTAAAACTATTTAAACAGTTATCAACCTGCCTTTGCTTATGCTATAATCATTGTCAAACCAAGTAGTATATAGTGTAATATACTCTTATCCTGTCTAATAATAGAGTTTTTATGTATCTCCTCAAACTACAGCATGGTTTTGATATATATGAAAATCATGTTTTCATTAGTAGAATGATTCTAACATTTGTTGTTAGAACTGCTTTTTATAAACTTCTCTTTTTTACTGCTTTCTCACCAGAACAGCAAAGCAGAGGGGAAATTAGCTTTAAGTGTTTTTGGGGTGGGCTTTTGGGGGCAGGAAGGGGCTGTGCTTTTTAAGAGACAGTGGAGATTTTTTTAAAGCATGAAAGGAAAATAGTGTCTGACTATTCAGATTTATATTTTACTTCAGTAATTTCTGTTTGCACACAAATATCAGTGGAAGCTAAAATGCAGTTTCTGTACTCCTGTGCAATTTTAAAAGTCTAGCAAACTGAAAGGAGAGTAAATACAATAATTACTATTTATCTAGTTATCTAAACACATTGTGAACATGTGTAGCTTCCCTGTGCAGTTAGCTGTCCTATCTAAATACTAGAGGCTTATGTCTCTGTGTTTTGACTTGTATCCTTTTATTTCTGCCCCTAGGCTAAGACCAGGTGCAAATATGAAATTGAAGCCTGAAAAATGTGAAATTATTTTTAAAAGTTTAGATTTTTAGAAACACAATAAACTCTTGGAAATTTTATTTATTCTCTTCATTTAATTTCAGGAAGAGCCATTAAAATAGCTCTTATAATCCTTTTCCTTTGATGTAAGAAAACATGGTAGAATAATTGGCTGTTAGTTTGGTCAGTGTAGCACAAAGATGTAATCAGACATCTTACATTACAGCTTCTTTATCTAGTTCACTCTTAAAGTTAAGGATCATTTATTCACTCCTTGTCCTTGAGCTAACTTCTTTCCCCTGCCTCTTCATCGGATTCAAGACTGCTAGTGATTTTTGTTGTAACACTCTTCTACATATGATTAGTGGTGTTCCAAGCTTTTACACTTAAAACAAAGCCTTATCTTTGTCCAGAAGTGTTGCCATGAGGCTCGCTGAAATCTTGGCTGCATCTTAGTAATATCAGTTATTTGAACCTTGGTCAGCAGCTGCATCTGGTGTTTAAAAACATTTCAAAGCAAGATTTTGATGAGGAACAAGTCAGGGTAAACTCGTTGTCAGTTTGCTTCACAAAACCCATTCATATACCTTCCCCAGTAAAATCATTATACATTTGTTCTGGTATCTCGTATGGGGTTGAAAGGTGTTATAATGTAATAGCTTAGTCGTCTCTTTAAGTGCACAGGAGGCCATTTCTCATTCTTTTTTTTTTGTTAGGCATTAGGGAGAGTCAAACAAAACCACAAAGGTCAAAGCAGGAACAGGTGGAGCACAGGGTGCCTGCCGGATGGACTGGAGGTTCCCAAGAAGCTCAGAGGGGAAAAGATTTTACCACCTTTTGGAATGATGAGAACACTTATGCTGCCTGTTGATACCCAGAGGTAGAAGGGGTATGTGTTAGGCATCCAAGCCCTCCTGAAGTGCAAAATAGAGTATGTGGAGGACCAAGAAACTGAATGGGAGAGTACTCAGGACTCTGAATACTGGTGCAGTAACCTATTAGTTGTTTTGAGCAATTGGTGTGCTTTTATGGGAATGTGGGATCCTTTCTGATAGAAGTATTCCTTTAACCTCACTCTGCCCCCTGACATGTCACTCATAAGATAAACAACTTTTAAACAAAACTAACTCTACAATAATACTAAGTCATTATGCAATTTTAAGGCCCAAGACCATACACAGAACCTAACATCGGTAAGATCTCCTGCTCAGTCTCATCTACTTTGACTACAGCTTAGTCAATATATAAAAAAAATCATTATTAGAACAAACTTTGTTTCTATATGATTTTATTACTCTAATTTAACAAACTTATAGGGCTACATGCTGCTGCAAATACTGATTCTCAGAAAGTTAGAGTCAACTATGTTAATGTTATTTATATAACAGTCTTTTTTATTAAATTTTGATGGATAGCATCTGCTGCATTTGCTCACAGCTTATTTTGTGGACTTTTCAAAGGGCAGTGGTGGGAGAGTAGACAGGAAGTTTGCCTGTCTGTTGTTGACTGCTCTGCCTGGGTCCACTGGAAGTCTCTGCAGGAAGGAGAAGAGCAGCTGCCCTGTGAGGAGCAAACGTATCCTGGGGGAAGAGCTCCTGGAGCGTGGGGCTAGGCTGGGAGAGAGGCACATCCAGCAGGCTGCCAGCACAGGTTGCAGAGTCCTCAGAAGAATAGGGAGCCAAAATAATCTGCCCCTGAGGATGGAAAGAAAGGCTTTTTTTTTTTTTTTTTTTTGGGAGCCTGGGAAAAAAATGGGTAGCACTTACCGCAATCCAGAACATTACTGGAATAAAACCAAAGCAGGAGGACAGGATCTGTCCTGCAGAAACATGGTGGCCCACAGATTCAGTTTCTTCCTCATTCTAAGTTTGTACTACAGAAAAAGACATTTTTTTTGGGTTGCCTTCTAATAGATCCCAGCTTTGATGATCAAAGAGTGGTTATCATTGTTGTGGTAAGGAAGAAGGGCAGGCAAATCTGCCTCAAAGTCCTCATGAACTGGATAGGTAAGTGCCAATCGCCCTCATGAAGGCATGAAACCAGGTCACCTGTTTGGCTGCCTCTCAAGGGCCTTCTCCACTTCTATCTTTCCTGAGCTTTATTAGCTCCCTAGCATGGCCTGCTCAATGTTCTTTAATATAATACTGCCTGTCTCCTTTTCTTTCTACACTATGCACAGTAATTTCTTCCAATCACCTGTAGTAAACAGTTCTTTACCATAGCAATGGAGTTCCTCTGCTGAAAATGTGAGCAAATATTGACTTAGTAAACACCGATCCAGGTAAATATTGACCCAGGCTGTCTGACAAGGTAGCTAAAGTGACAGAAATGTAATTTCTGGCTCTTCTGAGTATCAAAGTTTCCTTCAATGCTCTGTGACCTCAAGAATGATAGCCCTGAACTTCTTGACATTTCTACAGATCAAAAGGACCAATGTATCAGATTTTGGACTGACAGGACTGTTCTATTTCTATGGCTGTGAAAGGACTTCTTGTATAACTGAGCAAAATGCAACCAAACTTCAAAAGAGAGAGCCCTTTCTTTGGAGGAATAGTCTCTTCTATCACTGTCTGTCTTCCCTTCTTTCTCTTTTCCACTCTGCAAGAGCATGTGTACCACTCATGGTCCTTTCTCTGCTCACCTCTGAAGGGAGTCTGTGGGATATACAGGTCACTCTAGGAAGCAAATTCAAATTATTTTCAGACGAAGTATCTGACCTATGATATGGCCTTTACTTTGGTCTCTTTTCTTTGGAAGCGTCAATATGTTCCTGTGTTGAATACTGGCTTTTCTTTCTACTGACATTTCTACTCTTCCCTGAATCAAATAATTTTGTCCAGGTGTATCCAGCAGCTGCAGGAGCTAATCACTTACCAGTGTAACCTTACTACTCAAAATGATTTCAAATGCTCTGAACTTAACTTCCAAACCTTGAGGAGGAAGCCTGTCCTAAGTGGACCAGTTAGCATTGGAACAGCCTGCCCATGGAAGTGGTGGAGTCACCATCCCTGAAGGTATTTAAAAGACATATAGTGCTTCTTAGGGACATAATTTAGTGGTGGACTTTGTAGTGATAGGTTAATGGTCAAACTTGATGATTTTAAAGGCCTTTTCCAAAAAGATGCTATGATTCTAAAACTATTCCTCACACTTTTGTAGTTTAGATGTACATTTAGAGACCACTGTTACCTCTCTCCCTCAAAGATGCAGCAAATAGACAAAATTGGGCTTTGTATGAGTCTTCCCAGCTCGTAGCCATCCTAGAAACAAAGAGTGCAAGAACAGTAAAAGTGATAATGGACCAACAACTCCACTTTGAATTTACCTTTTCACCATTAATTAATGCTGAAGAAAACATATACAAAAATATCTGCTATTGTACACACTGATATACCTCTGCTCTACTACTCAAGTGTTCCACTTGCTGTTTTCACTGATAACATTACATTTTGTTCCTGCCTGATTTCTGTGTGAGTGCCAGCAGTCGGAAAATCTCTTACATGAGAGGAAGAGTATGCTGGCAGGTGTCCCTCGCCAAAGGTACCAGGAGGCTACAACTGCCTAGGGAAGAGACTTTCCCAGGACAGGTGTCACTCCAGGAGTGTGGATCACAAAAACGGGAGTGATGACTGGAGAGCAGAAAGGATTAGTTGAGATAAGAGGAGATGAAATTTCAAGTGAGCAGCTGTTTCAACAGAGCCTGGCCTTTTTTATTATATTTTGCAGTACCTTGAGTTGGAGTCCAACAATTTTCAAGAGTCAGATGAAAAATCCAAATCTTAATTCCCATTTTGATGGCCCTTAGATCATTCTCTGGACAGCATCATCATCCCAGCTGGATTACACAATGCCCTAGAAAAGGATTACAGTAAT